TCAATTTATTTTTTTCTTTTCTTATCGATGAAATAAAAGGATTTAAGGATGACTTTTATTCACGTGACAAAAAAAAATTCCACTGATAAGAATGAAAAACCAACTATTTTACATTGTAGACCTATGTTTGTAGTGTTATTATTCACTTTCAAATAACTGGGTCAATGGCTTACTTTCCTTGCTAGTGGCCCATGAGTATTTCTCGGAAAATACCTAAATTTTTCACACTTTGACAAATATTTTCTTTATTAACAAAATATTACAAGTAACAAAATTCTTTAGGTAATAAAATATAATATTACTGGGATATTACTACATGTACATAAATATGGGTAGCTGACTATGGAAAAATTGAAGTCATTTTATTTGTCATACAGTTTAGATATAAGTTGGCCACTATCTTCTTTAGTCTGTATATATCCAAATGTATATCCAATTATTTGTCATACAGTTTAGATATAAGTTGGCCACTATCTTCTTTAGTCTGTATATATCCAAATGTGAAACAGATATAGCAGATTCTATGGTGTCTTTTTATTTCGAGTTCACTGGGATATATCGAGTCGACATGAATATTGTCAACTGATAAACAATCGTCGATATATCTAAATGTCGAGTTGAAAGCCTCAGCAAGGGATTTTTTCTTCTTATTTAAACTTTTTTGAGTACATTTTCCTTCATAGGAATATAAAAACAGGTCGGCTAATAAAGGATTGCAATTAATTCCCATGGCGATTCCAACAATTTGTTGGAAGACTTTGTCTCCAAAGACTACATATATGTTGTCAACGAGAAAATCCAGTATCTTTTTAATATCAGCTTCAAAGTTCATAAGAGTAGAATCAGAAGGATTTTTAACATTAAGTAATTTTGAAGATGACCAATCACAAGATATGAAACAAGATGTGTTTGTGAAACACTGATGCCCCCGTATGGCAGCTTATGGCGAAGGTTAAAGTTTCTCAAATGCAAGTCAAAATCCAGGCCAAAAGATAAAAAATGTTAAATTTGAAAGCGCTAGCTGCAACTGTTCAAAAGTTATGGCAAAGGTTAAAGTTTTTTAAAAGTAAGTAAAACATCAAGGTCAAGGTCAAAGTTGTTAGTATCCAAAAGAAGGTCTTGTCACAAGGATTACATATGTAAAATATGAAAGCCCTACCACCAACCATTCAAAAGTTATGACCAAGGTTAAAGTTTTTCGAAAGTAGGTCAAACTCCTACGTCAAGGTCAAAGGGTCAAAGTGGTTGGTATCCAAAGGAAGGTCTTGTCACAAGGATTACATATGTGAAGTATGAAAGCCCAAGCACCAACCATTCAAAAATTATGGCGAAGTTTAAAGTTTTTTAAAAGTAAGTAAAACATCAAGGTCAAGGTCAAAGGGTCAAAGTGGTTGGTATCCAAAGGAAGGTGATGGCACAAGGATTACATATGTGAAGTATGAAAGCCCTAGCGTCATCCATTCAAAAGTTATGACCAAGGTTAAAGTTTTTCAAAAGTAGGTCAAACTACTAGGTCAAGATCAAAACTTCAAAGTGGTTGGTATCCAAAGGAAGGTCTTGTCACAAGGATTAAATATATGAAGTATGAAAGCCCTAGCTCTAACCGTTCAAAAGTAATGGCCAAGGTTAAAGTTTTACAAAAGTAGGTAAAACTCCTAGGTCAAGGTCAAAGGGTCAGAGAGGTTGATATCCAGAGGAAGGTCTTGTCACAAGGAATACACATGTGAAGTTTGAAACCCTAAGCACCAACTATTCAAAAGTTATGGCCAAGGTTAAAGTTTTTCAAAAGTAGGTCAAACTCCAAGGTCAAGGTGAAAAGGTCAAAGTTGTTGGTATCCAAAGAAAGGTCTTGTCACAAGGAATACACATGTGAAATATGAAAGTCATAGCTCCAACCAATCAAAAGTTATGGGCGAGGTTAAAGTTGACAACAGACAAGCAGATAAACAGACAAACAGACAGACAGGACAAAAACAATATACCCCCGGGATCTTTCGATCCGGGGGCATAAAAATAACGAGTTCCATTTTTAATAAGGAAGCGGTTGTCTATAATGTCAAAACAGCTCATCATCAATTCATCGTAGTGAATGGTTGTATAAATCGTAGAAAAGTCATGTGTTTGATGCCATTGATTGTAGAAAGTTTTGTAATTTTAAATACATGTTTTCAAATATTTGACTGCACCACTCCTTGAATATGCTGTTGTACAATACGTTTGAAATTTCTCCTTCACAGCAGTTAAAATAGGAGTTTGATAGAACCATTACAACAGGACCCTGCAATTTATCTTTGTAAGAATTTCATCTTTTGAATGGAAACTGTGAATATATGGACATTTGTTTGGCATTGCAAAAGAAAGCGACGATCAAATGTTGACAAACTTCAAACCACCACAGGGAAGAAAAACACAGTTGACGTCTTTATTTACTGGCGCTTGCTGATAATTGAAGAAACATTGATGTGCAATTACATAATGCATTCATTTGTCATGAATATAGGTCATGTAGTTGAAATTGTTTTTAATATCAAATAAATTTGAAGTGCATTCGGATATAAGCTTGACACATTTAAAATAGTTTCTTAAGTGATATAATAGTTTTCCAAAATGTTATTAGAAGGGAAATGTTTTATAGTGAACGGAAGTTGTTCACTAAGTACCTCGTAAGAGTAATACCCAAAATACTAATATATATTTCGATGCTGATGGAATTCTCGCGGCCCTCTCCTACACTACACGGTCATTGAGAATGGGGTTGGGTGGGGGGTGGGGTGGGGGTCTCTTAAAAGTGAATTTCTCTGTGCTTTCTATATATAGATATATATATATATATATATATATATATATATATATATATATATATATATATATATATATATATATATATATATATATATATATATATATATATATATATATATATATATATATATATATACAGCACATTTTACAACAACTCTGAAACTAACATAACTGCCCTAAGTGGGTATCCTTATAAAAGTGAATTTCCTTGTGCTTTCTATATTAATATTTCTTCACTTAGGGCAGTTTAGTTAGTTTCAGAGTTGTTGTAAAATGTGCTGTATAAATAAAATTAATTCATTACAATGTGTATCGGTAACGATCCTCTAATAAAACTAATGTCCAAATAACTGTATCTCACTTCCATGCTCAATGACCGTGTAGTGTAGGACAGCGCCGCGAGAATTCCATCGGCATCGAAAGCAAGTTTTTTTACTTGCCTAGATGGCCGAGCGGTCTAGCGCGCTGTTCCTGTACTGCTAGGAGACAGATTCCGTAGGTCGAGAGTTCAACCCCGGGTTGGGGCGGAAGTGGGTATCCTTATAAAAGTGAATTTCCTTGTGCTTTCTATATATATATATATATATATATATATATATACTCAGAGAGAGAGGAACTTCAAATAAATGGAAAATGAATAAGTAAATTGTCAATGAAAAATGACAAAATAACTGCTTGATATCTTTGTCATTGTTGAACTGAAATATGTGTTTGTATTTTTTCACGAACAGTAATTAATAAGGCAGACTTTAGTAGACTTTCTTGTCATAAGAAATGAATCCGACACATTTGTATTAATTTATTTTACCACTTATGTATTAATATATTTTCCCACATATGATATGTGCATTAAGAGTTTATTTTGGAATCATTGTTTTAATTAGTGGCCAATTTTTGCCAAAATTTAAGGATCATGGGGACATAATTTCGTACGAAAAGTCTTGTTATAGAATAAATCACCCATATTTAAAGCAATATGAGCTGCAACTTTGATGTCAGAAATTTTTGTTGCAAAATTGTAATTAACTGTTTCAATGACACAAAAAAGAACGTATATAAACTTCTGTTGTTCATATTGGCGACAGAAGAACTATTTATAAGCTTTGATTGAATCAAAATTACAATATTGTCGTCCTGTACAATATTGATTTCTTATATAACACTATATATTTGATTGTACAGAATCCTTTATTCTGAAACAATTTGATACTTTATTGCTGTCTAATTGATCAAAAAGGTTTAAATTTCATACAAATTTATCATAGTAACACATTTTAACAGCAAAATAAAATTCTCAAAAATGCAGCTCATATTGCTTTATATACTTGTTGAAATTGTAGGTAGGTCTTAATTTCCTATGAAATACATGAAAATGAGTACCCGTCGAGAATACTCGTAATATCTTCACATCAGTCGTAGTTATTAAAATAAAAGGAATTTAAAAGACTCGTTTTACTCGAGTCCTTGCAAGTCTAACATGTTCTAGAATGGCCAATACAGATAGACAAAACATCATGAAAGACAGAATTCATCTTTAATAATATAAAACGATTAGAAAATCATTAGTACAACATATTCCGGATGTAGAAAAATATTAGCACAGTATAAATCATGACCTATTTAAAAGAGATACATTTATTTTGTTTAAGAAAAAGATTTTAAAATACAGTATATCCATCTTGTGTATAAGTTCAAAAGTTAAATCAATAATATACTAAATTTTCCTAATTTTTTTTTTAAAAATTAGATTACTTGTTTAAAGTAATATATCGTAAAAACATTAATATAGGGACAATCAACTTCATCACACAAGATTTATCTTGCAATAATTTCATGTACTTCGGAAGTAGTGATTACGAAATCACCTATTTGATTTTTTTAATTTGGCAGAAGCAAAAATTTACTTCCGGCAAACTCCAATGACCAAGAGACAATCTTTCTGACGTCCGGTTAAACAGGAAACGAGCCTTATCACAAACCACCAGTTGTACACGTTGCACCGTACGCTCTCATTGTCATAAATTTCTATATTCTTAAACAAAGGGTTTTTATGTCTGAGGACAGCACGTTTCTTTTAATGTGACAATTTAGAAATTATCACATTAGTATGAATTTCCTCCAGCATATAATTCGTGAACAAACTTCATGTTTAAATAATTTACCCTTATACATTGAAGAAATAACCTAAGAATTCAAATATGGATCTTAACGTACTAATATTTCTGATGAGCATATCGGTTTTCGCCATCATTGGAATAATTGGGAATTCTCTCATTATTGCTGTATATTTAAAAACCAGAAGAAGCTTCTTTAACAGAACTTATATTGTGGCTCTCTCTATAGTAGACCTGATTGCAGATTTGATCATAGCTCCCTATACCGCTGTATTCGAACTCCAACTCGTTACCAGTGACGTCATCTGCCATGGAATGGAGGTCGTCAGACACACGGTTATTGGGTTCTCTAACTTGATTTTAATCTTGATTGCGTCAGAGCGACTTCTAATGGTATGGAAACCTACAAAAATCATATCAGAAAGAAATAAAATAATGGCTATTCTGGTGCTTTTGGTTATCTCCATTTTCTCTGGACTTCCCTCTGGTGCAATTTATCAGGTTTCGGGCAATGAGTTGATTCCTAATGGTAATACAACAGATGTTAGCAATAATACCGTGACTGTGAAAGAGGGATTCTGCCAATACACCACAAGTATTTTGGGAGAAAACATGAGCATGATGTACAGAAATTTTCTTGCTTTTATGATTCTTTTGGAATTTTTTATTTTGATCATAGTATATGTGCTAGTGTATGTACTAATTTGTCGACAGAAAATGAGAATGAGACGTATTGGGTCATCCAGCGTGCTGAAAGCGAATCAGAAATCCAAAAATAGTGAAACAAGCCAAACCTTGTCCAGTGTCCCAAACGATCAATCAGACTGCAATTCAACGGATGACATGGGATCTACACCGAAGTCACAACCAACAAAAGATAAAGACAAGAAGTATGCCACTGGAGAAAATCTTAATTATCTCTTTAGAAAAAATGTTTTCGCGGTAAAACTTGCTGATTCCGACACTGAGTCAGGACCTGCATCAGTAACTTTGACAAGATTCACAACAAACAAAATTATCGAAGGCAAGCAAATGAGAGCACTTAGTTTTGACACTGACACAACTGGTGTAGATAGTGAACCGGAAAGGGTCTGTGAAAAAAATGAGAAAGTTTATATAAATACGGCGAAATCAACATTAAAGAGGAAAAGAAAGACTCGATTATCCAAACATGCCAATTATGTTCGGAAGAAAACCTGGACAATGTTGTTCATCTGTACATTTGTATATCTTATTTGTTGGATTCCGTTTTTCTTTGAAATTTTTAATGTGACAAGCATACTAGTTCTTCGATATTTCTTTTTTCTTGGACATGCAACAAATCCTATTATTTACAGTATTGTAAACGTTAAAATCAGGAATGGGATCAAAAAACTTTTTAAAAAGAGGGTATAAATGGCTTTTCTTTGTTCTGTACGTGTATGGTTTATGTCTTTATCAATATCCAATATAAATAAACGTCCAGAAATACATTCGATATGATAATCATCAAATTTCATTCGTCATGGAAAAATTTTGATCTAATGCAAGTCTACCCTTTTAAGACTGAAAGGAGTCTTTTTTTTTTTTTTTTTTTTTTTTTTTTTTTTTTTTTGAAGGATTCTTCAGGATTATGTTTAGCTTGGTTTTTTTTTAATATACTTTCATAAATTTGGTTTGTTTTGTATTTTGTTCTTTATCTTTTGTGTACTTTTTGCATAAACATTTACAATAACTAATTTTTAAGGAGGCTGGGGGTCAACAAATTAACCATCAGATACAACTGTCAACTTTCATTTGGCAAAGAAAAATTTCATAAATTTTAGTTTTAAAATTTGATCATTTTTGTATATCTTTATATGGAGCTCTTCTTCTAAAGGAGATCAATATAGTCTGAAAATAGCCACAACCCCCCAGCCTTTTTAAAACATCAACCTAATCGTACTTTTTCGTAAAAATCTTCAAAGTTTTCTTTGTGTTCTTGAAGGAATTATTTTCGTTTTTTATGTAAGTATTAATTCTACAAATGTATTTTTCATCAAAAATAAAAGCTTTCTGTGGATCAAAAATTAATAAATTGAAAATTTAAAGTTTTGTCTGGTCATGTTTAAAATTACTTTCCATGTCACGTTAAGAAAAATGTGACCTTGAAATATGTAAACATACGTCAACATCTTTATTTCCGACAAATGATTAAAAACCGGGTAATTGTTAACATCCGAGTGGTAGCAGTCAGACAAAGAACATGGGGGAAACAGCTTCTTGACACGATAATAACCAATAGGTGTTAAATTTCTGTAAAATGAGGCATATACTTGTTCTTCAATTCAAAGTATAAAAATGACAGGTCAATGTTAACTTACGTACTGTCATTTTGGTACCGACATATATATAAATGACCTAAAAATTGTCAAAATCTATCCTTTCATAAGGACATAAAATTGTCGATCTACACCAGAGTTAACCGGTCAGACCATGATTGATTGGATAAACGATTTCGATTATATCGTATAACATAAGTTGCCTATGTCACAATGAGTTATGTCAAAAACGTATTACTCCACTTGACGTTGCTTTTAAGATATGCTCAATTTAAAGCCATTTTTGGAGGAAAAATTGTCTTTTTGTCTACACTGAAATTATATTATAAGGAATGAAGCTTATTTTAACTTATGTTATACGATATGACATAACTTGGGACAGTTCACACATTTTTATAAACCGCTTCTCGGTTTATAAAGCGTGATCTGCCCCAAGTTATGTTATTTCGTATAACATAGGTTAAAATAAGCATCATTCCTTAAGGGGAATCGTCTAATTTTTCTATTGATCATGTAAATTAATGTTGAGCTTTTTAAATTAAATAATTTTTTTTTTTTAAATTTTCAAATGTATCCCTAATCCCATACCTGTAAAGTAGAATAAGTGTGAAAACTTTGTCAGTCAAGTCCAGCTCACATTCTACCGGTAGATTGTCTTTTTCTCTTATCACCCCAAGCATTTCTTTCTGTGCTTCTTTAGCTTAAATGATTGTTAGCTATACAGTTTGAATATATACTTGATTATATTATACTGTACCTAAATATACGGATTATTTTATATTTTCAACTATCTCGGCAATGTAGTAAAATTTCAAAAACTTTTGTTAACATCGACTGGGTTTCCACTGGGTAGAGTACGCAAAAACTTCTTTCAGTACATTTTGAAAATCATCAGCAAATTCTTTCAATATAAAAATTTCGTCAGCATAAATTAAAATCAGGTTTTAAATTGTGACAATAATTCATCTTCAATTTGATATTACACGAACTCAGACTGAGAAGATAAATACATCTCTGTAATTATTTATGATCACATCACAAAGAGGAACGATGTAAAACAAAGTTTTCAAAAAAAAAAAAAAAAAAAAAAAAAAAAAAAAAAAAATTCATGGTCAGACAACCATTAAGTCATACAAAAATCTTTGTCATATCACTAAATTGGTGATGCAAATGTCACTAGTTTAGATCTGATTTATTCATTAGATAAGTGTCATACCACATTATAAAGAAGAGAGAACAGTGAATCTTTCAAATCAATATGTCTGTTTGAGTCACTGTAAAAAGGACTGAATACATGAATAATATACATATGTTATAATTCACGTATAGATCAAAATATCAGCATAATGTGGTTTTATATACATATGATTCATATATACAAGCAGATGAGGATATGCTTCCATTTACTAATAATTAATTATCTATTAGTAATTAATATACAACAGATATTATTGATGAATTCCATAAGAAAAGGTTTAATCATGACATCAATATAAAAATCTGGCCACTTTATTTTATTATTATTATTTATTAATGCTTAAAGGTGCTTGGACACAGATTTGAACTTAATATTTTCTCAAATTTTCTGTATAATATCACGACTTATATATTGCAATAGCATTTCACACGAAAATATAATTAAAAACTTATTTTATCTGGAAATTATTGGAACTACGAATTCCGGGACGTATTTGATTAACACATCTTTGCACTTACCCTGGTACACAAATTTTAACTTTATCCTTAATATTGTATTATTGAAAAATTGTACATCTATAATCCAGAAAGATCAGAGTAGAAATGTTCGAAAGCAAAACCAGCACACCAGTATTGTCAGTCCGTGCTCTTTGATGTGTACAGAGCTTAACAAATTGAACACACCCGTGAAACGTAAACTGTTTTTGTAAACAGGGCACGAGCTCTGTTATTGTTAATGTTTACGATTCACCGGGTGTGTTCAATTGTTAAACTCTGCACACACCACTAAGCACGGACTTACAATACTGTGACTGGGTTTTGCTTTCGAACATTTCTACTCTGAATTTTCTGGGTTATAGTTTTAATATTTTTCATTAATGCACAACAAAATTGCCACTTTTCTTAAGTATTAAGAATAAAATTAAATTATGTGAAAGCGCAAGGATGTGTCAATCCAACGGGTCAAGAAATTCGAAGTTTTGATAACTTCGAGATGAAATAAGATTTTTAATATATTTTAGTATGAAATGCTATGGCAACATATAAGTCATGAAATTAAACAGAAAATTTGAGAAAATATTAACTTCAAATCTGTGTCCAAGCACCTTTAAGACTTACACTTTCCCCATTACATGCAGATTATAAAAATGGTATAACATGTATATAGCAGTGTTAATATGGTACACGTTATATAGCAGTTTCAATCTGGTACACATTATATAGCAGTGTCAATATGGTAAACATTACATAGCAGTGTTAAATGGTACATATTATATAGCAGTGTTAATATGGTACACATTATATAGCAGTGTTAATATGGTAAACATTACATAGCAGTATCAATATGGTACACATTATTTAGAAGTATCAATATGGTACACATTATATAGTAGTGTTAATATGGTAAACATTATATAGCAGTGTTAAATGGTACATATTATATAGCAGTGTTTATATGGTACACATTATATAGCAGTATCAAGATGGTACACATTATATAGCAGTATCAAGATGGTACACATTATATAGCAGTGTTAATAATATACACATTATATAGCAGTGTTAATATGGTACACATTATATAGCAATATCAAGATGGTACACATTATATAGCAGTATTAATATGGTACATATTATATAGCAGTGTTAATATGGTACACATTATATAGTAGTGTTAATATGGTACATATTATATAGCAATGTTAATATGGTACACATTATAAAGCAGTGTAAATATGGTACATATTATATAGCAGTGTTTATTAGTACACATTATATAGCAGTGTTAATATGGTACACATTATATAGCAGTATCAAGATGGTACACATTATATAGCAGTGTTAATATTGTACACATTGTATAACAGTATCAATATGGTACACATTATATAGCAGTGTTAATATCGTACACATTATAAAGCAGTGTAAATATGGTACATATTATATAGCAGTGTTTATTAGTACACATTATATAGCAGTGTTAATATGGTACACATTATATAGCAGTGTTAATATAGACACAATATATAGCAGTGTTAATATGGACACATAATATAGTATTGTTAATATCGTACACATTATATAGCAGTGTTAATATGGACACAATATATAGCAGTGTCAATATGGCCACATTATATAGCAGTGTAAATATGGTACACATTATATAGCAGTGTTGATATGGCACACATTATATAGCAGTATCAATATGGTACACATCATATAGCAGTATCAATGTGGTACACATTATATAGCAGTGTTAATATGGTACACATTATATAGCAGTGTTAATATAGTGCACATTATATAGCAGTATCAATATGGTACACGTTATATAGCAGTGTTAATATGGTACACATTATATAGCAGTGTTAATATGGTACACATTATATAGCAGTGTTAATATGGTACACATTATAGAGCAGTGTTATTATGGACACAATATATAGCAGTATTAATATGGTACACATTATATAGCAGTGTTGATATGGTACACATTATATAGCAGTATCAATATGGTACACATTATATAGCAGTGTTGATACGGTATACATTATATAGCAGTGTTAATACGGTACACATTATATAGCAGTGTTAATATGGTACACATTATATTATAGCAGTATCAATATGGACATATTATATAGCAGTATCAATATGGTAAACATTGGATAGCAGAATCAATATGGTACACATTATATCCATGTAGCAGTATCAATATGGTACACATTAGATAGCAGAATCAATATTGTACACATTATATAGCAGTGTTATTATGGTACACATTATATAGCAGTGTTAATATAGTACACATTATATAGCAGTATCAATATGGTACACGTTATATTGCAGTGTTAATATGGTACACATTATATAGCAGTGTTAATATGGTACACATTATATAGCAGTGTTAATATGGTACACATTATATAGCAGTATTAATATGGTACACATTATATAGCAGTGTTAATATGGTACACATTATATAGCAGTGTTAATATGGTACACATTATATAGCAGTGTTAATATAGTACACATTATATAGCAGTGTTAATATGGTACACATTATATAGCAGTATTAATATGGTACACATTATATAGCAGTGTTAATATGGTACACATTATATAGCAGTGAAAATATTATACACATTATATAGCAGTGTTAATATAGTACACATTATATAGCAGTGTTAATATGGTACACATTATATAGCAGTGTTAATATGGTACACATTATAGAGCAGTGTTAATATGGACACAATATATAGCAGTATTAATATGGTACACATTATATAGCAGTATCAATATTGTACACATTATATAGCAGTGTTAATATGGTACACATTATATAGCAGTGTTAATATAGTACACATTATATAGCATTATCAATATGGTACACGTTATATAGCAGTGTTAATATGGTACACATTATATAGCAGTATTAATATGGTACACATTATATAGCAGTGTTAATATGGTACACATTATAGAGCAGTGTTAATATGGACACAATATATAGCAGTATTAATATGGTACACATTATATAGCAGTGTTGATATGGTACACATTATATAGCAGTATCAATATGGTACACATTATATAGCAGTGTTGATATGGTACACATTATATTATAGCAGTATCAATATGGACATATTATATAGCAGTATCAATATGGTACACATTAGATAGCAGAATCAATATGGTACACATTATTTACATGTAGCAGTATCAATATGGTACACATTAGATAGCAGAATCAATATTGTACACATTATATAGCAGTGTTAATATGGTACACATTATATAGCAGTGTTAATATATTACACATTATATAGCAGTATCAATATGGTACACATTATATAGCAGTGTTGATACGGTATACATTATATAGCAGTGTTAATACGGTACACATTATATAGCAGTGTCAATATGGTACACATTATATTATAGCAGTATCAATATGGACATATTATATAGCAGTATCAATATGGTACACATTAGATAGCAGAATCAATATGGTACACATTATTTACATGTAGCAGTATCAATATGGTACACATTAGATAGCAGAATCAATATTGTACACATTATATAGCAGTGTTAATATGGTACACATTATATAGCAGTGTTAATATGGTACACATTATATAGCAGTATTAATATGGTACACATTATATAGCAGTGTTAATATAGTACACATTATATAGCAGTATCAATATGGTACACGTTATATAGCAGTGTTGATATAGTACACATTATATAGCAATATCAATATGGTACACATTATATAGCAGTATTAATATAGTACACATTGTATAGCAGTATTAATATGGTACACATTATATAGCAGTATCAATATGGTACACATTATATAGCAGTATTAATATAGTACACATTATTTAGCAGTGTTAATATAATATACATTATATAGCAGTGTTGATATGAACACATTATATAGCAGTGTTAATATGGTACACATTATATAGCAGTATCAATATGGTACACGTTATATAGCAGTGTTGATATAGTACACATTATATAGCAGTATCAATATGGTACACATTATATAGCAGTGTTAATATAGTACACATTATATAGCAGTGTTGATATGAACACATTATATAGCAGTGTTAATATAGTACACATTATATAGCAGTATCAATATGGTACACGTTATATAGCAGTGTTGATATAGTACACATTATATAGCAATATCAATATGGTACACATTATATAGCAGTATTAATATAGTACACATTGTATAGCACTATTAATATGGTACACATTATATAGCAGTATCAATATGGTACACATTATATAGCAGTATTAATATAGTACACATTATTTAGCAGTGTTAATATAATATACATTATATAGCAGTGTTGATATGAACACATTATATAGCAGTGTTAATATGGTACACATTATATAGCAGTATCAATATGGTACACGTTATATAGCAGTGTTGATATAGTACACATTATATAGCAGTATCAATATGGTACACATTATATAGCAGTGTTAATATAGTACACATTATATAGCAGTGTTGATATGAACACATTATATAGCAGTGTTAATATAGTACACATTAT